GACATTTTTACCTATAATGTCAACGTTTAGAATGGTTATGCATTTAACAGCTCACAAAGGATGTTCAAGATGTGCCTGTATGCTGCACAATTGCTTTGGGAACTCAGACCCTTCATCTTAGACAAGATACTGTGTGTATGTGTGATTTTTTTCTTAATTAAAAGTTTTTTCCTTTCATTATTCCCTAAATAACACAAGATCTATTTGCATAGCATTTGCATTCTATAGGTACTAGAACTAATCTACAGATAATGAAAAACACATAGTAAAATATGTACAGCTTAGAGGCAAATTCTATGTATTTCTGTTTGAGGGGTTTGAGCATCCTTATATTTTGTTGGCTAGAAAGAGTCACAGAAACATGGGATTTATTCTGGATTGCATCATAAACATGCATACATGTTTGTCTGTATATGCACACCAATATGGATACACACACATCTATTGCTCCTCTTCATCACCTTAGATGTGCATAAAGGTAATGTATCATTAAAAGGAAGACACAGTGTTTTTACCAGGATCATGCTGGGTAGCATAAAGCTGTCAACATCCCAATCTTTTTCTCACTGCCCTGAAATTGATGAGTAGTCCATGTGTTGCTAAGAGACACTGGAGGGTTTATAATGTTCTATAGTCATATCTGCACATAGCTACAAATTTTTTGATAAACAGAACATATTTGATAGGGGAGGAGGAAATGATGAAATGTTGTAAGGCAAAACCAGGTAAATAGAAATAAAAGTCCCTAAAACGCAGCACGTGTTTTCTTTCTTGGAGGCTGGAGGATGTGTCCATAATGACAAGTAGGCATTGTTTGTTTGCCATCAGGAGGTCTTTTCTGCGACTTGATCTCGTTTCTCAGCTATCAGTTGAAATGGGATCTTCTGGAAGTGAAGGACAAGTTGACCCACCTGAGGGCTACAGGCACATATGGGTCATTTTAATGTTGAAGTGGAATTATCCAAACATAGATAGATGACTCTCATTACCAACCACAAGGCCATGTGGCAGCTGGCTTCCAGGGGCCTCAGAGCTGTGCCCTATGACAGCTGGAGAGTCAGAATTCAATAAGTCATCTTCGTCTGTTTTCACAATACAGAATTGGAACAGAGGGGGTAAGGAGGTGAAGTGTAGAAATCATAAATATTTCAATATTATTATTTGTAAGAGAACCCCCTGAAGTGTCTTTTACCCACACATCTGGCATATTTCAAAGTGGTGATCCTAAACACTGTTTTGAGCAAGTCAAAGTAACTTATAAAAAACTGAGTTTGCTACTGGCATTAACATCAATAATATATGATTTAGAATCATTGTCACAGGACTGTCTGTTACCACTCTGGCACTCTAGCCAACTTGTCTATTCTTAAATGCAACTCTCCAATACCAAAATGTGTCTTACACCCCAAAGCTAAGCATCGCTATTGTGTTCCTTCCAGTGTGTGTGTGTGTGTGTGTGTGTGTGTGTGTGTGTGTGTGTGTGTGTGTTTTATTTTGTTTGAACTTGCCCCAGCCTTTCTTTAAGAAAATGAGGTGTTTCAAGAATACATTTTTCATTCCCAATTCTTTTGGAATCAGAGGTGGCAGTGTGTGATCTGAAGAGGAGAGAATCATTAAGGGAGGCACACAGTGAGGTCAGGAGCTGAGCTAAGTAAACCACAGGTGACAAAGACATGCAGTGACTTCCTCTGGGTGTCATGTTTGAAGGACCTATGGATGAGCTTGATTTGGCCAAACTGGGGAATACTCACTGACCTTTTTCTATTCCATGATGATGGACATCCATATGACTGGGGTCTTCTAGAACATATTCTACTACCCTCAACAGGTTCCACTCATCGAAAGCCCTTTGAGGTTTCTAGAAGCTATGTCCAAGTCTTCCAATCCTGTCAGAAAGATGATACATGTGGCTCCTTCTCTGACCATCTTGGTCCTTTCCATGACTCCCTTTCCAACACTCAGTTGGAGAAACTGGTCAAGGCCTAGTGATAGTCCTAACTATCAGAGCATGCTCGTTTGCCTGCTGCTCCATCTGAAATAATGCCCTGTGCTCTCTCATCCTCGATTCTTTGGTTAAAGAACCACTTGAGCTTTCTGTGCCTCTCTGCACATTTCTGTGTCACACAGCCCTGCCAATCTTCCACTTCCCTGTCATGCTTGTGACATGCCTTCAGCCTGAAGAAGGTGGCACCTTTTCTGTCACTGGCAGTGTGTTTTGATTTGGGAGATTTGCATAAACACCACTTGTTATCTCTGTTGTTGCCTTTTCTTTCATAATTGACTGGATTGCATGCTTTCTTCTTGCCAGGTCTGAAGGAATCAGCAGTGGATCAGGTCTCCTCTTCAGTGGGAACAATCTCCCCTTGGCTTGTTCTTTACAACACAGCAGTTTCCTGTCTTGAGACTCACTCCTTGGGGTAGCCTCTTGCTTCCAGAAGAAAATTTCTTTTACATTTTACATTGTTCTTGGAAAGAATTTAAAAGGCAGCACTCCACCCTCTACACTGTTTGCAATTTCCCATCCCAGTCTTTATTACAGAGTCATTATCATGGCAGTGTACCCATTAATTCCATCAAGGACACTCAGCCCTGTGTTCTGGAAGGTGTTGGTGGAGGTGCTGCATACAGACAGGCATTGGTTTCCTGTGTTAGTCCTCCCTTTGATACTGTTGTTGCAAACTCCTGGTCCCCTCACTCCTGGGATGTTTCTTTGAAGTCTTTAGTGCTGTTCTTTGCTCCATGGAACTCTCCCGACCTGACCTGTTCCCTTTGGGAACAAAGCTGGTTTTGCTCCTCCAAATGTTCTACCTTTCTCAGTGCCCAAGTAGTTACAACTATTCATTCTTATTTTCCAAATTCTCTGCTAACTTGGATCTTCCTATTTTTTGTTTGTTTGGTTGTTTTCTCATCGAGCCATGATGCATTGTTTTTATTGCTAGCAATGGAGTGAGGAGAATCATGTAGATTTGTTTGATCACTTCTTTTACAGAGGGAATTCATGGTGAGTGAACAATCTGCATCCCGTGAGCCAGGCTCTGCAGCAGACTGGATGGATGATGCAAACTCACCCTGTTTCCGACAGTGAATTTCATGTGAAGACAGAGCAGGGTTGCTATACTATTGTATGTTTTATCAGGGTTTCTATGTGACTCAAATCATCACAGCACCCTGGTAATCTATGAGAGTGTACCGTGGCATTCTGGCACTATGCTAGTCTCATGGGGAGATGCTGTTGATATTATGCCTTTGTCCTGTCACAGACAGGACAGTCCAGGCACAGAGGGGAAAGAGCTCAATTATAGAGGTCTCGTCACTCCTGCACTCACACTGTCCTTTTTCCACATGGATTCCTGAGGAGTGTGAGGCCAACTCACACTCAGGGTACAATATACTTCACTACCCGGGCCTGTATGGCTGGCATCTTTCTGGCATCACAGCATATGTTACATCTCCTGTGGAATTGCCAACCTTCCCTAGGTGCCACGCCCACGCTTATTTCCCTGGCTTGCCTGGTGTGTGCCCTTCTTTGCTTAGTGCAGTCCTGCATGCATCCTATGTGCACCTCTACCTGGTAACCCCAAGAAATCGCATTCCTCCATTAAACTTCCTCCCCAGGAAGTCTTCCTACACCCTTGTCTGCCTTCCCTTTCAGAGCAGTGGAGACAGTGTTTCCTCATGACAGCACGTGGACAGCTATGCAGTAATGTTATCATTACAGCATATGGACATTTATGCAGTAATGTTATCATTACAGCATGTGGATATCTATGCAGTAATGCCATGGTCCTAGTCTTTCCTGTTTAAAGCAATAACTTTAGTAAAAAGGGTTTCAAATCAGTGAGTGCATAGTGAAGGGTCTCTCACATGACCCTGCTTATTGACAGCCCCACCTTATATTCTCCAATTGAAACAACAGTCTGTCCTCTTCCCTTGTTCCTCTAATTCTGCTAAGTTACCACTTGCTCAAACACGTGTCACTGATGTGGGGCTGTGATGATCTTTGCTAGGAAAGCTCTGAGGGTCATTCCTCAGCCCGGGTTTCTGTCCCAAATGTTCTGAACAACACCTCCTTGCTAGTCATTATGTTTACTTGTAAAGAAGTTGAAAGTGTTCATGGATATTTGCTACATAATGTAGTTTTAATATATATTAATTATACAAAAATGGGTTTCATTATAATACTTTTCATGTATAAACATAACATGATTTGATTAGTCTGAGTCCATAGCAAAATTACCATGTTCCAATTTGTAGTTTCTATATGCAACGTCTTAGTGAGAAAATGTTACAACTACTTGTTTAATAAAGGCCTGTGTATTTTCTTTTCTTTTTAAAATTATTTCTTTTATTTTTTGGAGATTATAATCATGCCATTTCCCATTCCCCTTTGCTCTCTCCAAACTCTCATGTGTACCCCTCCTATCTTTCAAATTTATGGCCAGTTTTTATTAACTCATTTACATATATGTGTTTGTGTCTGTGTGTGAGTATATTCCTAAATACATAAATACCACCTGCTTAGTCCATGTGATGTTACTGGCATAAATGTGTTCAGGACTGACCATTTGGTATCAGGCAACCAATTGGTGTGCTCTTTCCTGGGGAGACTATTTCTCCCTCTCTCTGTATTCATTGGCTGCACAAAGTTCTTTACATAGGGTTGATCTTTCTAAGGCAGCTAGTGCTTTCATGAGAAGCATCAAACAGGTTGATTTTATAAATTTTCTTCTATGTATCCAATAAAATTTAAAGTTTGTGGCACAATTAAAACTGAATTCATGTTTGTCAAAAGAAGACATCTTTGGAAGATATAAAATAATACATGGTTACTTTAGTAAATACTAAGCAAATGTCAGGGTCAGCAGTTTCACTGCTGACTTTAGTCAACACTAGGGAAGGACTAATTTTTTTCTTTTCCTGGCAGACATTGTGTATCCGTGCTCACCATCCCTCTTGCCTTCAGGACTCCTCAAAGTGCTCCTTGTGCTTTTGATTTTCAGGAGGAATGTCAGAACTATATCAGAGTGCTCTTAGTGGGCGGGGACCGGCTATTCACCTGCGGGACCAATGCCTTCACACCTGTCTGTACCATCCGCTCGGTAAGGTGTTCACGCTAGACTTCAATAAACTTATGCCAGGAGCGGCCTTCAAAGCCCCATGTAAATGTGTTCCTGTGTACCAAAGGCAAGAACCTTTTGCAACATTGCTCCATTGAGTAAATGCTTGATTTGTTAACTTCTAATCAGTCATGACTGTCATGTATATGAAGAAACAGAAATTAGTTGCATATTACATACTTGGGTATGCTTTGAAATTATTTCAGTCAGCATTTTCTCAATGAATGGACTTTAGCACCATTCATAAACATGTACTTCTTTCTTATTTTCATTGTGGTTGAAATATTATCAAGTACCAAAATGCTCTACAATCACAATTCATATAGGAAGAAAATATATATAAACTGGATAGTTGGTATGCCAAAAATAAAATAAACAAACATATCCATAAGCAAAGTAACGGTATAACTATTATTGTAGACAGGGAGTGTCATCTAACAAGTCCCTCTGTAGAAGCGTGACAGGGTCATTAGTCATGCATGCTATCTTCTTAATTCAAGATATTAATTTAATCTTCCTTGAGAAATATAAGTAGGAAACACCATTATGTTAATTTATGGATAGTACAACTTCTCTTAAAACCTTACCTTATCATCTAGGCTTACTGTTCGTTATTTTAAATTTTATGTTCAGTTATTGGACATAAAGAACAGGAGGAGGGTGCTAAGTGGTGGCCACAGACAGTTCCCTACTTCCCATATGCAGCTGTCAGCATGTGACCCCATTATAAACACCACATCCCCAACATCCAAAATATGAGGTTGTTACCGTGGGGAGTAGTATTGAAGAGGGAAGATTCTGAGACATAAAGACTTCATGTAACTTTCCCAGGACTATGTTTCCAACAGCAGAGGACAGAGTGAACTTGATATTCCTACATAAGTCATCTTAACTATTTTTTTAATTCAGTTAAAAGTCAAGAACCAAATTGAAATTGAGCCTCATCAAAACACCAAAACAACAAACAAACAAGCAAACAAACAAACAACAGTTCTTCTCATGTTGTATTTGCTGGCAACCAACATTTGGCAAGCCAAGCAGATACTTAACATACATTCAGCTTTCTCAAGACTAAAAAGGGGAAAATTTAAAAAAATAAAAAGACATGTATGCTCGATAGTACAGAATATTGGCATATGCTCATCACTAGTATTGAACACTAGCCTTTTTTTTTAAAACTTTGTCAGACTAATACCATGAAGGTGGCTCCTTATCATGATTCACATTTCTATAAATATTAAAGTTTGTTTCTTCATAAAATTAGAAAACAGTATATATATATATATATATATA